GCAGCTGAAAAACAATTAACGTGGATAATAATACATCGATCGAAAAACAAAGACAAATCAGAGATTTCGTCGAATACGGTCTAAATATTCCTCACGTTAAATGCCCTCAGTCAAAATATGCATGAGAAATGGTCCTGCGTATAAAAATGCTCCAGCAAGAATATTATCAGGTTTTTTTTTGATATCATATCACTAGGAGGTAGATGAGGATTGTGTGTGCATATGGGTGTGTATGGATAGACAGAAGGCTAATACCCATACTCCACACACTCTACTAATGAAATATTTGATGATTAACGATGTTATCCTCAAGGGCGAAAAGTTAGACATATGTTTGACGGAACATTTTTTTCAAAAGCACTTTAAACTGTTGTCAATCTATTTACATAGTTATTTAGAACGTTCAATACATAATAATAAATGCCATACATCATCTGAAGGAAGACGATAAATTCCAGTTAGTGCATAACATGTTACTATTAATAAAATAAAATTTGTCTGAATACCAAAAAGAAATATCTTGTACATGTGTATATGATATATGACATATAATTAGTAAGGCGCCAGCAATTCGAAATTTGTTTTTTTGAAGGATATTTTGTCATGGTTGGATAGAGCTCGTCGAGTTATCTATAGAAATATTGTTTTTTTTTACATATGCAGATGATATGTTTTTTCGTGACGAAACTTAGAGAAATTAGGTTAAAACGGTCGGAAAGGTCTATAAATATTGAAATATACCAAAAGCATTTTGATAATGAAATGAAGTTCAGTCTGAAATAGTCACCAGAATTTTTCCAATAAGAAAAATTTCAAAAATAATCATTAATGAACTCGTATTCTTAGTTATTCATATTTTCTTAATCAAAAAGACTTAGAAAATGTTTTTCAGGAAACATTGAGTTTTATACAAGTAAACATTGAATCACACATCATCAAGGAATTAAATTAGGGATCTTTCATTACAAACGAAGAAAAATTGAATAAAAAATCTGAGCCAATTTAACTACAATCTGCTAAAATTTTCCTTCGTTGCGGGTGATTAAGTTTATATGCCTGTGAAACATTTCTGAATCGTCATTAAAATTTTTTTTCGGATAAAGCAGTTCAAAATCTTTTCTTTCGAAGGTCGCATTTTGATGAACCTAAATGTTCGCATGTTTCTTCAAATACATGGTTTTTTTAAGCAAGTTATGATTTCTTTTCTGATCTCTACCACTGTTGCATGTTGCCAAATGTGAGTTCGATAGAAGAGACACTAATCGCATCTCCTCTTCCCCACATTTTTAACTTCCGGATGAAGACCTTATAAAAATATGTTGAGTCGACCCTGGAACCAAAACGTTCCGGTACCTATGTAATTATTCATAAAAAAGATGGACCTATTGACTTATATATTGAATGCATGCAAGTCTTGTACGAGATGAGATAATGACTTATTATATGGCATTTAAGTTCATTATGACATTTTCTTATGAAATTCTTAGAATATATTATATTCATAGTTTTTATTTTTCTCAAATTCTTCGCATTATAATTTCTTCTATTTCAGTTAGATTTGTTGAAATACTTATATGTCTACCTTTAATAGAAAATCAAATCATAAAGATGATTTATTTGCATTTACCTTGTATTGTTAGATTTAACAGATTGATGTAATGTAATTTGTTGAAAAGAAATATTTCTATCTCCATATTCAATTTGTAATTGATTAATTCGAATGGATACATACTGAAAATATAATCTTTTCTAATCTTTCTTTTTCAAACAAAAAAAAAACCAAAATCTTTACTTTAAGTAAATATAATTTCCTTTGTCAATCTTTTTTCTGTTTCTTTTTAGTTGTAACTTTATTTTTTTTAATTGAATTAATTTTCAAATAGATATCATTTATTGATATAACTGGTAATCGTAAAATAAATATTGAAAATAATGATAAAAAATGAATATATTTAATGCGAAGACGAAATAAATTATGTTTTATATCAAGATTTTCTAAACCACTAAGGCCAACTGAACTATATTTGATATCAATTTGATGATACCATTTAAGATAGATAAGAAGAGAACTAAACAAGAAAATTTACATACACATAAAAAAATTATTTATTATGTTTATAATTACCGAATAATTAACCACATAATACAAAAAATTGAAATAAATGCGATAAAAATAAATCCAAAAGCTCCTCCAAACACCATACTTTTTATGTTTCATATGATTTGAAAAATGGAACGTGAATTAGAGATCTCAATGGTCTGCGTGGAGTCAAAGATCTATAATCCATGGGCTCGCTTTCTTCGGCTCGGACCAGTCTATTGAAACCTCTGAGGTGGACTATAGCTTTCCTTTAATAATCATTCGACTAGAATAGATATCACTGATCATCTGAAATAAATATTTAACAACTTATAATTTACTCTTCATTTGAAATCTTATTATTTTAATGGAAATTTTTATTATTTTAAATAGAAATCTTTCAAAGAAAAACGCATTATTTTTTTCAATTAGTTCAAATACTTTTGTTAAATATGACTGATGACTAAAAAATTTTTATTTTTCTACTTGTTTATATAAGTACTTTGTTTTCAGACTTAAGCAATATAATTATTATTTAATTTCAGATCTTGTATTGATGAAAGAATCATAAATATGGCTACTAAAGATCCAACAAGTGGAAAATTTTTAGCTCAAGCTCGTGCTGATTAACAACAAGAACATAAAATTCGGATAACATTAACATCATGAAGATGTTAAATCATTTGAAAAAGGTGAAGAAATATAGTACTGAATAAAATTTTTCTGGGCGATTTTGTTTGAAATATAACTTCTTTATAAAGTTGACTTTCGAGATACGGTTTGCGTCAAAACTACATTCAGTGTGTATACTATGTCCACAAAAAATGTTATTTCTAAATGCTGATTCATAGT